ACTGAGTCACAAAAATGGAATAGTGTCATTGAGGATGGTTGAAGTGAATTATTGCAATGTCTGATGCCCAAAACCATTGGCTCAAAAGGATTGCTCTGCTTTCTACCTCAAGAATGGATGAGCAAGGTCCTCACAGACCCACCTTCCCAGAGATCACAGCTATGATCTCTGCACAAAATACAAAAAAGAAGTAGTGAAAGCTCTGGGGAGTGGACGAAAAAAGGCAGATTCTGGAGAAGAGTCAACATTTGGAAGAAGGGGCCATCCAGAGGTGAGTTTTTCTGGTTTTTAAGGCTCTGAATCCATGAGTGGCCTACAGATGATACCACAAGGGGCAGCTAAAGCTCAGATAAGATTCAAGAATAGAGCCCAAAACATCCAAAACGGATATACAAGAAGGTGAGTGTCACAGAAAGAAAAGAAAGAGCCTGAGTGAGATTGTTGGAGACACTGCATATAAGCTCGGCCCAGATCTGTGTCTGGCGCCAGAACCACACACATGCAGGGCAAACACAAAACAACGAGTTAAAGATAAAAGATTGGAAGGGAAATCTGAGTTGCCACCTAGTAGGCAGAGCTTTCGATTTGAGTCCAACCAAGTTAACTCCCTGATAAAACAAAAAACATCAACACTCTTTTGATGACTATAAAAGAAACCAGAATCCCCACGCGTCACTTTCAAAATGTCCAACACAGAGTCCAAAATTACTCCATCTACATAGAGTCAGGAGAATGTGACCCACCCTCAGGAATAAAACGAACAAATAAAAATATCAACAGAAACCAACCCCAGGATGACCTAGACAAGGGCTTTAAAGCAACTGTTATCTTTACGCTCGATGAGATATAGAAAAATATGTTCATACCAAAAACAAAATAGTAAATCTCAGCAAAGGCATAGTAAGATCAAATATGAACTAAATGTAAATTCTAGAATTAAAATGTAGAACTTAAATAAAAATTCCCTGTAAATGCCTAAGAACTAAACAGAGAACAAAGGGGAGAGAGTCAATAATTTGAAAACAGATCAGCAGAAATTATTCAATTTTCAGATGAGGAAGAAAAAAAATTTAAAGGAAGTCTTATAAAACAATATCAAAAAGTCTAAATTAGAGTCACAGAGGAGAAGGGAGAGAGAATATGATAGAAACATTATTTGAATAAATAGAAAAGTTCCAAAATTTTCTGAAATCCATAAATTTACAGACTTAGGAAGCTCAGCAAAACTCAAGTAGGATAAATAGGAAGAAAAACATGTCTAGGCACATTGTAAACAAAACGCTAAAAACCAAATACAGAAGGAAAATCTTGAAGGTAGCCCAAGACAAATAATACGTGAGATCCAAGGGAACATCAATTCAAACAACTGCCGAACACTTGTGAAAAATAGGGAGACTGAGGGATCAACATATTTAAAGTGCTAAAATCAAAGAAAAACCAACATTTAAATCTGTAAGCTGTGAAAGTACCTGTCAGGAATGAAGATGGAATAACATTTTTAGATAGATGTTAAGGAAAACGTTAAAGGTAAGAGAAGTCATCATCTAAAGACCTGCGCTGTAAAAAAATGCTAAGGTAATATCTTTAGTCTGAAAGGTAATGACGACTGATGAAAACACAAGTCCTCCCAGCTACAAAGAATGTGACAAATAGTTAATAGTGAGCTAAACATAAGAGACGACTCTTTCTCTTGATTTCTTTAAAATATATGCCTGGTTTAAAGCAAAACAATCATACTATCTGGGGGCTACATAACACTTGTAGTTGTAATACATATAACACCTAGAGCGTAAAGATTGAGGGAGTGCTGACAAATAAATATATAGAGTAGGAAAGTTTTCCATTTTATGGGAAGTGATAGGATATTAACTCTAATTAGACGACAATAAGCTAAACATATATATTAAATTTCTAGATCCAGCACTAAAAAATGCAGAGGAATAGCAAAAAGACAAAAGATAAAAAGAATATTCTAAAAGAAAAAAAATCGGGTAACACAAAAAAGTAAGAAACATAGCAATAGCTGGGGCAAACAGAATTGGAAGACCCAAATCCAATCATATCAATAATTGCACTAAATGTTAATGGACAGAATATTCCAATTCATACCATAGATTATCGGAATGGATAAAAAAGCAAGACCCAACGATCTGATGTCTAGAAAAGGGACACTCTATTTTTTTTTATTAGTCTATTTTTTTTTATTTAAGAATAGTTGACAGACAATGAGAAGCAGTTTAAATATAAAGCCACACCTTGGTTAAAGTGATGAGAAAACATAAACCATTTAAATACTAAGTAAATTTTAGTTTTTTAAAGCAAATTCTGATTTAATTAAATTTTAACACTAAGGCTATGTTCATTTCAGCTTAACTGCACTTGAAGATAAAGAACATTACTAGATATAAAGAGATAAATTACATAATGATCAAAGGTTAGATTCATTAGGAAAACAATTGTTCAAAAAACTTCTTTTTTTTTTATTTTAAATAATTTTTTATTGTTATGTTAACCACCATACATTACATCATTAGTTTTTGATGCAGTGTTCCATGATTCATTGTTTGTGCATAACACCCAGTGCTCCACGCAGAATGTGCCCTCTTTAATACCCATCACCAGGCTAACCCATCCCCCACCCCCTCCCCTCTAGAACCCTCAGTTTGTTTTTCAGAGTCCATCGTCTCTCATGGTTCGTCTCCCCCTCCGACATACTCCCCTTCATTCTTCCCCTCCTGCTATCTTCTTCTTCTTCTTCTTTTTTTTTCTTAACATATATTGCATTATTTGTTTCAGAAGTACAGATCCGTGATTCCTCAGTCTTGTACAATTCACAGTGCTCACCATAGCACATACCCTCCCCGATGTCTATCACCCAGCCACCCAATCCCTCCCACCCCCCACCACTCCAGCAACCCTCAGTTTGTTTCCTGAGATTAAGAATTCCTCATATCAGTGAGGTCATATGATACATGTCTTTCTCTGACTGACTTATTTCACTCAGCATAACACCCTCCAGTTCCATCCATGTCGTTGCAAATGGCAAGATCTCATTCCTTTTGATGGCTGCATAATATTCCATTGTGTATATATACCACCTCTTCTTTATCCATTCATCTGTCGATGGACATCTTGGCTCTTTCCACAATTTGGCTATTGTGGACATTGCTGCTATAAACATTGGGGTGCATGTACCCCTTCGGATCCCTACATTTGTATCTTTGGGGTAAATACCCAGCAGTGCAATTGCTGGATCGTATGGTAGCTCTATTTTCAACTGTTTGAGGAACCTCCATACTGTTTTCCAGAGTGGTTGCACCAGCTTGCATTCCCACCAACAGTGTAGGAGGGTTCCCCTTTCTCCGCATCCCCCGCCAACATCTGTGGTTTCCTGACTTGTTAATTTTAGCCATTCTGACTGGTGTGAGGTGGTATCTCATTGAGGTTTTGATTTGGATTTCCCTGATGCCAAGCGATGTTGAGCACTTTTTCATGTGTCTGTTGGCCATTTGGATGTCTTCTTTGGAAAAATGTCTGTTCATGTCTTCTGCCCATTTCTTGATTGGATCATTTGTTCTTTGGGTGTTGAGTTTGATAAGTTCTTTATAGATTTTGGATACTAGCCCTTTATCTGATATGTCATTTGCAAATATTTTCTCCCATTCTGTCGGTTGTCTTTTGGTTTTGTGGACTGTTTCTTTTGCTGTGCAAAAGCTTTTTATCTTGATGAAATCCCAATAGTTCATTTTTGCCCTGGCGTCAAAAAACTTCTAATACCAGAGAGCTTCAAAATACAGAAAAGCAGTTAAAAGGATAAAAACTCCAAAATAATAGCTGTATGTGTTTTTAAATTTTTCACCATCATTATCAAATAACTTAAGTAGGTAACTCTGGGTTGACAGTTTTCTCTCAACAGTTTGAGATTATTCTGTTGTCTTGTGGCTTCCTTTGGGGCCATTAGCAAATCTACTTTTGTTTTAATACTTTTTATTTCATAGGAAATCTGATGTTTTCCTCTGATTGATTTAAAGATCTTTCCTTGGTCTTTTGTAGTCTGCAGTTTTCCCATGATCGTTCAAGGTATGGATTTATTTTTGTTTATGCTGCTTAGAATTGTTTTCTAAGTATGCTTCCTGAATGCCTTTCATCAATTGAAAACCTTTTTCATCCATCTTTCTCTATTTTAAATATTGCCTCTTCTATATGCCTCCTACTCTGTACTTCACGAAATATGATGAATTACAATTGACAACAATTACAACATTCATTACAATAACATTGATTGAGTGCTTACTGTACATACGGTGATTTCAGGCGAATTAATGCATGTAACGCTCACAGCTACTACATGCAATAAACACTGGTTTTCCCCCATTTTACACATAAAAACACCAAGACACAACAAGTCCTCCCCAATCAAAGGTTAGCAGGAAGAAGAACCAAGACCTGTAGAGAGGCACTTTGTAAGACAGGAACAGAAGGAAAGATGAAAAGACAGGAAATCAAGGAGTGGAAATGAGTATGACATCACTTCCAGGGTTATGTACACCATCTGCTTCAGGCTGAAACAAAATACTTATCATCACTGATGACAAAAATAAGATGTCTGGGTTGAGGATCCGCAAGTAGAAGTTTCTACCATAACCGCATAAAAACAATGCCATCAGACCTACCACTTCTAATCACCTTCTAAGAACCACAGACCCATAAGAATCTGCAGAAGGTCCCTTGGTCTATCTTTTTGCTTGAACAATGACACAATATATAAAAACACGACACCACAAATGCTCTACTCTAGGTGCACTGGTGTCCAGGTTCTCTTTCACTTCACTGAACTCCTGGACATGACTTGAAGAAAGAACTGAAATCCGAGGGTTTAAAAAAAAATGGTGGAGGGCATAATTATTTGTCCCACATGGAATGAATGACTCAGCTGAGAGTTCTTCCCATGCCCTCTGTAACAGTGTGTTGGTGGTGGGTAACAAGTGTCCCCTTTCTGCTCACCAAGCCGTGGAAAGGATGTCATCTTCTTTGTCACACCCACAAAAGGGGAAAGTCCCACAGCAGGGCTGCAGCCATGGTTTCCAGATGGTGTTGAACACCGAGAACTACTGCGGGACACAGGTGTGAGCATCCTGCGATGCTCTTTGATGGCCGCCTCGATTTTCTTGACAACCGAGTCAAATAATGCTTCATTGTCAGGGTTAAGAGGTCGGGCCTCAGAAGGGTCTCTGGAGATGTCGAAGAGCAGGGGAGGGTCGTGGTAGGTGACATCTCCAGAACACGAACAGATTCCACTCCCATAGCAGGCATCAGCTCCATCCGGGGAGAACTTGGGAGTCACGAAATGGGCCTTCCACACGGTTGCACCTGGAAAAAGGGCTCCACTGGAATGCCATATTTCTTCTCATTTGAGGACTCTTTCCCTTGAAAATATATTTCTCGAACACTTTTGCCAAAAATTGATACTTTGTTTTAGTTTATTTTTTTAATATTTACGTTATTCATTTGAGAGAGAGTGTGCATGGGCATGAGCTGGGGAAGGGGCAGAGGGAGAAGCGGACTTCCCGCGGAGCAGGGAGCTGCATGCAGGGCTCGATCCCAGGACCCTGAGATCATGACCTGAGCCAAAGGCAGACACTTAACCAAGTGAGCCACCGATCCTGGAAATTCTAACTCTAATCACTACTTTGCTCTGACGGGGTTATAGGCAAAGTAGAAAATTTTCTAAGGCTAATTACCACTTCCAGGTCTGATATTGACCAAGGTGATTTGGCAGGATCCATCATTCCTTGTTGTTTTCTTCCTTCCTCTGTCCCTGTTTCTTTTTTCCTTCCTTGTTTCCTTTCTTTCTTCCTGCATATAAATGGTTTGCAGTTCTATTTCCAGAGATCAATTTTAGATGGAAAACATCGTGTTTGCAAGCCTCTGATCAATGAGGGCTTGCACAGAAGTCTGTGGGTTGGGTTTTGTAGAAAGGCTACGCTTTTCTAATAAAATTAGGCTAAATCCCCTGACTCAGGCCTTTACCCCCTTTGCTCTTCTCTCTCCTTCCTGCATGGAGTGCAGAAGTGATGGTTGGAGAAACAATAGCCACTTTGCAACCAGAGCATTGGAAGGAGCATGAGAATGAAAACCGGCACGCCAGAGAGGGCAGAGTGGAAATAGAGAAAGAACCCAGATCCTGGTCATGGCATTGAGCACGGTAACAGCTCTGTGCTTCCAACTTCTGAAATCCTCATTATGATAATATGAGTAAAATTCTATTTGTTTAACCCTCTGTAGTTAAATTTGGGAAGCTTTTGTTGTTGAGGGGAGCTGTTTTGTTTTGTTACTTACCATTGACCAAGCCCCTAACTGATATAGAATCTAGAAGGAAGACATTTTTGTTGGTTTGTTCTAGTTTTATGGGGGAGATTCATCCACACTGACCTGAAGAGTGGATCACACCACAGGTGATGGGTCCCATGAGAGATAAATCCGTATACTTTCTGAAAATTAAGTTAATTCCCATCAACTAAGAATTCTGGTGTCTACAGATGTAAGGAAATGAATCTCTCTCTCTCTCTTTTTTTAAGATTTTATTTATTTGTTTGACAGAGAGAGACACAACGAGAGAGGGAACACAAGCAGGGGGAGTGGGAGAGGGAGAAGCAGGCTTCCCACTGTGCAGGAAGCCCGATGTGGGGCTCGATCCCAGAATCCTGGGATCATGACCTGAGCCGAAGGCAGGCACTTAACGACTGAGCCACCCAGGCGCCCTTGAATATCTCTTGTTAATTTATATTTGTTTCCATGACTCCTATAGCATGAAGGTAAGGCAGAGAGGATTAACTGGAAGGGGACAGTCACTGCTGTGTGGGTCACACTGCAGACCTTACTCCTTGTTGCCAATTATTTCCGTGTCCTTAGTTGTGGATATTCATATTCTCTCTCTCTGTCTCTTTCTCTCTCTGATGTATTCATGCATGCAAGCTTGCACACACCTCTAAAATCTACCACAGAGCAATGGCTGCTTAACTAACTTCCCTAAGGGAAAAGAACCAACATGGCTGGGTGTTGTTTGTACATGGCCCAACTTCCCCCAAGACGAAAAGGAAGCAGGGTTGTGCCTTTATCGTGTTCCCACACATCTGCCATGTTCATACTCACAGTCCTTCTGATGCCACCTGGCTGTGTGCAGGTAGACCCCACAGTAATGGAAGAGGAACTCATGCTCCGAGTGGGACACCCTGCCTTCCAGCAGGGGCATTAGGTTCCGACCGTCGATGACTCTTAGGAGAGAGGGAGAGATGAAGAAAGTGGTGAGAGAGGCTTGGGTTGGTCACACATATTATGATATAGGAGGAGGAGGGGGGAGGGGAAGGGGGAAGAGGAAGAGCTCTTGACACTCATTTGATTCAAATAAAGCCTTGCCGCAGATGAATAGATACTAGTCCTCACACATGGAATTTAATCATTAGAGCATGAAATGCATTTATGCATCTCAAAGCCCACAGAGAGATAAGGCATAATTCATCACACGTACATTAACACATACTCACTTGTATTCAGTAATTCACCTAATAAATATTTGCTTAATGGTGTAGGTGCTGTGGGGGATATACAACTGAATGAGAGTCGATCCCAACTATGAGGACAACAGAGCCTATGTCTGTGTAAGTATGAGAGACAAAGTAGAACATATTCTAAGAGGGAAACAGGCAAGCTATCCCACCATCTGTTAAGGGGAGAAAGATGTTGTCTGGCAATCTTAGCAGATTACTGAAAATTGAGTAATATACCACACATGCACACAGAACATTTGCTGATATATCCAAGCGCATGTCAGATATATCTGCCTAGGTTAAGAACAAATGCTGTTTCCATATACCTGTCCTGCGGCAATATCCCTCCACCTATATACGACAGAGTGTCGGGTAAATGTCCATGAGGCTCGTTGGTTCGTCAATCACTTTCCCAGCCTCCAGGACTGTCGGCCACCGGAATATCCCTGGGACACGAATGCCCCCTTCCCATCCGCCCATCCCCTTGCCACCTAAAACCAAAAATGAAATCAGAGATGAAGTCAAGTCAACCATATTTCTCCACTCTGCTGGAAATTACATCTAGATGGAACGTTTTCTGTCACTTGTCAAATTCCTGCCAGTGTGCTACGTTCACACACAGAGATACAGACAACCTGAGATATGTTTCTTGCTTTCCAGAAGTTGAAACTCGACTTGTGAACATCTGGCCATCAAGCGACAAACCCATCCATAACCAATAAAAACAAGTGATGTCCTAATACGGTGCGTTATTTTGTGCCAATGAGTGCCACGGGGTTTCACTCTTACGAGAAAAGAGAACATTCTGTAAGCTGGCAAATCTTCAGTCTTTATTGGAATCACACTGGGCTCTAAAAGATGGATAAGTAAGTGAGGCTCCAAGCAAGACCAGAGAAATAGGTTCTACCTGGGCCATGCTGATCCTTGAGAGAAAATAAGGAATTTGGACTTTATTCAGTGATCCCCCATACGGACAAAGATAGAGGTCAGGGGCTCGCGAATGGTGCAGAGGTGGATAAAGCATTGAGGATTCCATCTCGGACAAAGGACATTTCAGGTGTTTCTGAGCAGAAAATAGAGGAGCCCGTGCTTTAGGACCTATCCTACAGTCAAGATGTTCATTGCAGAATAGAGATACAGTCCTAAGCCAAAAGACATAGTCAAGATCATACAGACATTTTTAAGGGAAAACAATGAGATTCTCTGGGTGGGGTGGGAGGAAACTCTTCCAAAGTAGAACAAACATGAAATGTTCATGGAACACCTTTTATGTGCTGGTCACTCTGGCAGTATGAATTACAAAGAAAAGACAAGATGGGATATCTCCACGCAGAAGGTGGGAGACATTAAATGGGAAAACATTTAGGGACAAAGACTCTGGTCTAGCCAGTATCCAAAGCCGTCCCAGTCATCAGCACCATTCTTTCTGGAAAACTTAACAAGCTCCCTGCACTGAATTTATGTTTGTATACCAATAAGCAACAAACAAAAAACTAAACATAAACCCACCTTGATATTTTCTTTCTTTTTTTTTTTAAAGATTTTATTTATTTATTTGACAGAGAGAGACACAGCGAGAGAGGAACACAAGCAGGGGGGGCGGGAGAGGGAGAAGCAGGCTTCCCCCCGAGCATGGAGCCTGATACGGGGCTCGATCCCAGGATCCTGGGATCATGACCTGAGCCGAAACCAGACGTTGAATGACTGAGCCACCCAGGCGCCCCGCACCTTGACATTTTCATGGTCATATGTAATAGCCAGCGATGTGTTAGGCACCTACAACAAATCTAACCTTCTACCCAAACACCCAAATTTGTCTCTCAAATGGACTCAGCTCCTCCTGGTGATCTGGAGGCCAGTTCCAAAGGTAAAATCTGCTCACAACAATTTTGCTGTACCTCTTTGAGAGCTATGTGAAAGCACTTTTTAGAGTGATGGTTTTATGCACACACAACCCCCACCACACGCACACACACAAGCAATGTCACTGTTAAAATCATCACTTCTCATTTGATGGCATATATAATGGCATATATTAATTTTATTACACACCTTTGCTACTAGGCTTGTCACCAATTTACTCTATGCTAATTAACAGTATGTCTACAGCAAACATGACCCACCAGAAAAGGTGAATATATTTAGGATCTCACTTGCTGTCAATCACAATGTATAATGTTTCTATTATATCTATTTAGCTATAATCTATCTATCCATCTATCATCTATCTATTCCTTCCATCCATCCATCCGTCCATCCATCCACCCATCCATCATCTACCTATCTATCCTAAATTGTTTCATAAAGTACAAGGAACTCCTAAAGTTCTGATTTTTGTAATGATGACAACTTTGACACCATTTTACTTTTTTTTTTTTTTGATTGGGGTTGGGGGAGGTAGGAGGGGAGTAGCAAACACCAAATTCATTTTTAAACTCTTCTTTTTGATCTGCTTTGCTGATCCATAAGGGCAGGCTCAGGGGAGCTACTGAATAATCCAGCAGAGAGTACATCAAAGATGTCGGAAGAATCCACTCGCAATGAGGAGGAAGGCACCCTCTCCAAATGAGCACCTCATTTCCTGATCATTTCACAGTGTTTGAAGCATAGTGATAACATAATTGATTTCATTCCACTAAAAACCTGGATTTGGGTACTCAGGTTAGTATTATACTAGAGCAAGTGGTTCTCGGCTGGAGAGGACTTTGGCCCCACAGGACACTGGGCAATGTCTGGAGACAGTTTAGGTTGTCACTATTTTGATAGGGAGGGGAGTGGGAGGTGCTCCCGGCAACTGTAGGGTGAACATCAGGGATACTGCTCAACACCCTACAGTGCCTAGAACGTCTCACATCAAAGAGTCATCCAGCCCCAAATGCTCAGGGTGCCAAGCCTGAGAGACCTGCTTTAGATGGTCATTGAGAACCTCTGCATTTACACTCAAGAGGCTCTCATTACTTCAGGCATTGTTGTCTTAAATTCTCAGACATTGCCCCCAAACTTGCACCTTTTTCCATCCACTTTCATAACAGAGTATAACTCCCACAAAAACCTCCAAACCAAGTTTGCAAATGAATGCACGTGCAGGCAAAACGAAGTAGACCCCACTGAGGGATTAAATTAAAACACATGGACTCTCTGCACATCACCTTTGTAGATCCCGTTGAAACCACCCAGCTTGACCTTGCCTTCCTGCACCTCCAGGCGACCGCCGTTGTCTGAGGTGAAGTACACCAGCGTGTGGTTGGCCAGGCGCTCCTGGTCCAGGGTCTCCAGGATCCTACCTGGTGCGGGGGCAAACAAGAAACTCTCGCCTTTCACCATGGACCACTGTCAGTCTATGACGTGATTATTATTAGGCATTTGTTAGCGTAACAATATAATTAAGGGTTATTTTATTGTATAGGCTATCATAATATATAATAAATCATGATCATACACTCTAATACATGTGTAGTATATATAAGTATTCTATACAGTAGAGACATAAATACTATATGCCATAGAATACATATACTAGTGTACAATATAAAATTGAGCTTTATATATTTATAATTATTTGTTATATATTTTACACTATATAATATTTTATATATGTATATAAAAGCATGTATTCAATATAAATACATAATAAAAATAATAATATATATAATATAAATTATATCTAATGATATAAATTATTTATATCTAATAATATAATAAATACTATATATAATAATATAATAAATATAATTCCATTTAAAATATAAAAGATGTTTCTATATTATATTTTAAATCATAACAAACTGTAATACATAATATATACTATAATATATGATAAATATATTATTTGTATGTAAATATATAAAATATAAATTATGTATTATAATCCTATATACTTCCTATATTATGAATATTATATGGTAATATGTAATATATGATATGGTAATATACAATATATGATATACAAATATGTAATATTTGATATGTAAGTATAATGAAATATTTATAACTATAAGTTCTAATTAATAATATCTTGAAATTTTATATTAAATATATAACATAATCTATTATAGAATACAAATAATCTATTAAAATATTGTATAATGTTTGATGATTATATACTATATAATAGTATTATATAATGGTTACTTATATAATACTAATAGAAAATATTTTATCGTGTAATATGTAATTTTATTATATAACATATACTATATCATTTTAGTTTGTAATGAATGATTTTCTTATCTAATATTTAAGAAATATAATATATAATATATATAAAATGTGACATATACTACATGTAAGAAATATATATTATACAATATATAAGAATATGTATTTATTTTACAAATTACATAATAATATATACACACATTACATACACACACTACATATACGCATACAATATATTAGAAAGTATGAACTAGTATGTAGAATACATCATCATCACTCAAAATTCAAATAACCTTTAAATATTAGGCCTGTCAGTTTTTTTGTTTTTTTTTTTAAGATCTTATTTATTTATTTGACAGAGAGAGAGACAGTGAGAGAGGGAACACAAGCAGGGGGAGTGGGAGAGGGAGAAGCAGGCTTCCCGCGGAGCAGGGAGCCCGATGTGGGGCTCATTCCGAGGACCCTGGGACCATGACCTGAGCCGAAGGCAGACGCTTAACGACTGAGCCACCCAGGCGCCCCTAGGCCTGTCAGTTAAAAGAAACTTACCAACACTAATAAAACAGAGAAGACAGTTTAAAAACTGACATGTCCAGGAATAAATTCGCAGTCATACCCTTGCTCCAGAGAGCATGATCCCCACCCCGTAAAGGATGTACTATCCCCAACCCCCTCTAAAGTTTGCATCTGACCTGCAGGTTATTCTTGTAATTAAGCATCCGACCATAATTAATACTTCACTAGACTCAGCAAGCATCGTGCTGATGTGTGGACAATCTCTTAAGGGGACAAAGGACTTTTTTTTTTAAATATTTTATTTATTTGTCAGAGAGGGAGAGAGCACAAGCAGGGGGGAGCGGCAGGCAGAGGGAGAAGCAGGATCCCCGCTGAGGAAGGAGCCTGACTTGGGGCTGGATCCCAGGACCCTGGGATCATGATCTGAGCTGAAAGCAGAAGCTTAACCCACTGAGACACTCTGGCATCCTGGGGACAAAGGGTTTTTGAAAAAAACAAGTAGAAAGCTCATCTAGCCACGTCCCAAACTATGCTGATTTAACTTATTTAAGCATAAACTCATTAACCTTTCTGTTTCCTTGTTTAAAAGTGATTTGTTTTAGAAGCCACGCTGGCCATTTTTTAGAAATGTTGCAGCTAGAAATTAATATATTTTAAAGCCCAGATTACGGAAGATAAAAGATTATAATGGCTTCTTGGTGAGAGAATAATTACATGTAAATTATCAGTTCTCATTAGAGCTGGCTATTGTATTTAGCATAAAGGTTATTTGTAACTTATTACCAAGTAAATAAAATACGTGCCAATCCTTTTATTTTTTGGAAATGCATAGATGTAAGCTTCTGTGTATGCAATGTATAAAACATGTAAAAGCGTGTGTGTATATGTATGTGCATATGGCAACAGAGTAATCATAAAATTGAGAAGATGTCATGCAGAGAAATACCTACTTTTCATTTCTCCCATGTAAATGGTATTAGCCCGGGAATGCAATTAAAAGTATGACTAAATGCAGTTAATAGTATTTACAGCGCATCTGCGTCGTGTATTTACACAGATTACAAAATACACATAATTAGCTTTCGTGGCAAACTCTGCATATGAACGTGGACAGAAAGTCTTTTTGCATAAAACTGGTCTCTGACTCGAGATACAAATGCGGCAAAATGCCTTGTTTCCAAAGCAGATGATCCTGGGCGATAATAAACATCAAGGAAAGAAATCATAATCTTACAACTACACTAAAGTTACAATGTTAGAGTTGTGTTTACTGTAGCAGTTATCAATATTTGTGTGTATTTGCCAGGGAATTAAAAAATATGTACATATATATAGTAGCATGCATATATAGACATATAAACAGTTTATGTATATGTATTTATATATGAACATTAATATTTAACTTGATTGGATAGATTTTCATTATTAATTTAAATTATATTCTTAGTTGATTTACTATCAAAGACATTAAATGCATGTTTATATATACCTAATATATATAAAAGTAACATTTTTATATTTAAGAAACTTAAAAAATTTAAAAATCTGTGAATATTAGTTTAGGTGGTTCCGCACAGAACACTTTTCAGAAGCTTCTACTAGTAGAAGAAAAAAAAGGTTATCCTTTGCTTCAAAAGTAAACTACGCTTTTTGAGATGAAAAAATACTCCATCATGTCCAATTGAAGGAAAAGGCAATTTGGAAAGCAGGATGAGTTGTTTTATGGATATGCATGTGATGCTCCCCCCGCCCAACCTGTCTCTGCAGCAGTCCCTGCCCTCATTTGTGACCCTTTGTGTTCGTTTCCGCATTGAACCCTTATGACTTTGAAACAAATGGCTTCAGTTTAGGTAAATTCCCTCCCGCGTTTCTAAGCATTTCTCGTAAAAAAAAAAACAAAAACGAGCTAGTGAGAAAAACACATTTCCTTTTATAACCATCAGAATGATGGGGAAGGGCAGTATCCTTTACAATGCAACTTCATCCATTTTGAACAATGAGTCTTTGTTTTAAAGACGGGAAAATCCCATATTTATAATTGTGACTGTTTTCTTGGGGGGAAGAGTCAGTGGTTTTGCTGCACCTACAGCCAGATTTTGAATTCGTTCCCTGGAACCAGTATTTGCCCACTGCCCAAGATCCACAAGGGGCTGTCCATTGTTTGAGGCAACCAGGATGCATTCGCTTTCTCTAGCCCATGCATCAGGTACTTAAGATTGTTTTTCTCGACACTTACCCACCATCCAATCCATTTCTTCAACATTATCCCCATAGAGTCCATATTTACTGTGCCCCACAAACTTCTCTTTGGTGATCAGTGGAGTGTGGACATGCAGAAAGGACACAAACAGGGCTGCGTCTATACCTAAGGGGTGGAACGGGAACTGAGTTATTGTCACAAACGAAGGCATTTTCTCCCCTCGGATGGGATTCCTCATCAGCTGAAAGATCTCGCAACAGTTGCTAGAGGTTGTCTAGGTCCTTACATGTTGAATACCACTCAGGAGATTAACAAATAACACAGCAGGACATCAGCAGAAAGGCCGTGAGTAGGAAAACAGAATATTGGGACATTTGCATTAGCAACAAAATAGTGATTGCAGTCCGTCTTCTGAAGAAAGACTTCTTCATTCCTTCCTCCTCCCCCTCCTCCTCTATGCTGTCTGGAATGTAAATGTGATGGCTGGAGCTTTGGCATTAACTTTGGGCCACGAGGTTGCTTGCACAGAATCACAGGTAGCAAGATAGAAGGAGCTAAGATGCGAATACATCTTGTTTGTTGTGTTCTGCATTTTAATGTCCCATGGAGCCATTTAAGATTCCTCCTTCACATGCTTTTACACCCAGGTATTATAAAGGGGGAAGGGTATAGAGATTGGGTGTGTTCTATCAAAGACAGCCCATGGGAGTGACAAGCAGAGTTGAGTGACTGCATTCTGACCACTGTGTTAGAGCAAAGGATCAAAGCATATGAGTGGATGAGATCCCATTGTCGGACGCATTATCCCCACAGAGTTACACCTTTTTCTCTTCCAACCACTCCCCTGTACCCCGTACACATCAGGTCAATGAGCATCCACACCCACAACTCAATCTGCTTCTAGTTGGTAACCTAGAAGGGAGCTGGTATGCAAAGACAGGAGACCGTTACCTTCATGCCCACGTGGCTTGTATTGAACACATAAAACCTCAGATTAGGTATCTATACATAGAATCACTCCCTCATTATTCATGGACACAGAAGGATTTTCTGGCTGCTTCTAAGGCAAACCAAAATCAACATCAATCCCAAAGACTGAATCCATTTAGATCCCAATCCATATTGAAGTGATACGGATCAGTATAGGGATTCCAGTTTTTATAAAAAAGAGTGAGCATAATATATTTCTTTACCATTTCAGAGTTTACAATTTGCAGTAAATTTAATGCCCAATTTTATTCTAAGGAGAGATTCTATTATATGGCAAATATCACGCACACTCACGCGCTCGTGCGCGCGCACACATGCACACACACACACACGAAGGCCCATATCCCCAAGATGAACCCAACTTCTCCGAAACACGGACAAAATTCCCATGCATGGAATCAGGCCGGAAATGACTCCATACCTGTCGATAAAGGCAAGAGCCTCCTTCAGCAAGAGGGAAGCCACTCTTTCCTCCTGCATCGGCTGCTGGATGATTTCATGGTTTCTCATAAGAATGCAGTTCCAACGCCGAGTAAACCCGTAACTGGAGTACCAGGAAATGAAAAACAGGAAGGCAAGAAGAGCGAAGGTGACGATGACCTTCCACGGGACGGGGAACCAGCGGGCAAACTTAGGGATGAGGAGCAGCAGGGGGACGAGGCTGAGCACCACCGTGGAGATCCAGAGTTTGATCCTGAGCCAGCGGTGCAGCTCTGGTGTTTTGGACGTCTGACAATTGCTTATCAGGCCAAAGGGCAGCCCGTAGAAGTAGTCGAACCCATGGTTGAGGGGGTGGTAACAGTGATCATCCCGAGAGGCACAGCTCAAACCCTGGTGCCACTTGCCTGCAGGAGAAACAAAATGGCAGCAGATACATCCACCTGTTTCTAGAACGTGGGCTTCACTCAGCAAAAGTTAAATATGACTTGCACTCCCTTGCCATGGGGATATCTTCTTGGTACCCCAATCACCACCCTAAGGATGCTAAGAAGGTTCCCATATTTGTCACCAACACCGCTTTCCCTACACCCTGCATCTTTCAGACTAAAACAGGGCAGTAAAAACCCCTTTGCTTGCTGCTCTCTCTCTCTAAAATAAATAAATCTTCAGAAAAATAAAATAAAATCATAAAAATAAATAAAAACGCAGTCACTTCTCTGCTAGTAATGATGTCATAAAAGTAGTATACCCCCCACCTCGCCCCCTACAGAATATTCCATTTTGGTGACGGCAATGGATGAGCCCATTTGCTTTTTCATTCCCGTGATTCTTCCAATACCCTGTTCGAGATTCTAAAGGTCCTGGATAATCGTGCATTAAATCCTTACCCCACGCATATCCTCACAACAAGAGGTCACTGGCGTGGGTCCAGCTGAGGTCCCGGGAAAGCTCGGTCCCGGTGAAAGGGGATGTGCACGAGCATGCTTCCGAGTTCAGAGTCCTGCATGCCATACCTATGAGCCCCGTGTGGTAGCCACGATGCTGCAGCAGCTTGGCAAAAGTCATTTCATTGGTGGGCAGACCGCCCGAGCCTCCAAGCCAGGTGAGCTCGCGGTTCAGGTTGAAGCGAGATGCCATTCCTGAAGTCACAGGCACCCCATGAGTCCCACAGTCCCTCTTTCATGACACTCATGACAAACTCCAGGATTCATCCTCCTCTCCTCGAAGTGTCTCCTACTGAGCCCCCACCATGCTGTTCTTTCCTGAACGCTCCCTTGCCTTTTTGTCTCTACTTAGCTTGTCCTCACATCTGCCAGATGCAGATGTTCTGTGGGGATCGGGATCACTAGCTCAATACACGACGCCTGGTCACACTGGAATTTCATATGAACAATGAATGGTTTCTTAGTACAGCCATGCCCCACACGTTGCATGGGGCATACTTGTACTAAAAATTTAGTCATTGAAGATTCAAAATTCAAATACAACCGTGCATGTGACTCGGGATGATATCCTTGGACCTCGGTTCTGAACTTTGATGCCATCTCTCTACATGGTGAGAAACCCACATCTCCTCCAAATCCTCCTCTGAGTTGAGGTCTTATCTAGACGTCTCTATGCTTAAGAACCCAAATCTTAACATGACCAACACAGAGTCCGACATGTACCGAAAATCTAGTCATTGGTGATTCGAAATTCAAATGTAACCATGCACATGACTCTCTGGATGATGTCCTTGGGCCTCGGTTCTGAACTTTGATGCCATCTTGCTACATGGTGAGAAACCCATGTCTCCTCCAGACCCTCCTCTGAAGTTGAGGTCCCAGACATCTCTATACTTAGGAACCCAAATCTCAACATGACCAACACAGAGTCCATGGTCATCATACTTCAAACCTGCCTCAACCAAGGACACCGTAATCCCCCCAGCCACCCAATCCATGAATTCCTTTGGGGTCCTCCCTCTCACTCAGAGTCACCTCTTCTGTCCAATCCCATGTCAAGTCCTGATAGCTCTAACTGGGTAAACGGTTTGGATATTTATCTCCAACGCCATAGCTTTTGAGCAGAGATTCATCTGGGCTGTGCTTTGATGTCCACAAGCCAATCTCTGTCCACTATCCCAGGCCTCTTCTGAAGAGCCCTTCCAGCCCATGTCCTGCCCCTGGTCAAACGTCATTACTGTCCGTCCATCACCCTCTGTTGAAATTTAAATTTGGGGTGGAGTTTACACAGTGTTTGGTAATCTGAGACAACTGATTATTGCTGTGGCTACCTCACTCGCCCAGGGCACTCATGGCTGACTGCACTGTCTCTGCATGCCACTTCCTCTGCTGAGCACACCCTCCCTCCTGACTCCTCACATTTCAAGGAACTTCATCCAGGAGGACTTTCCTGGGATGTAGAGGTCCTTATGGGCTTCCAGCACTCACTGAACTATTCCTTGCATCTCGACCATTGGAACACTTGGCGCCTTGAGGTGCGTACATCCTACTTATGTTACAACTACCAAGAATAAACCTATAAATGAAAGGCATCACACAAACATGCACAACCAAAAAAGAAAAATCAAAATATGTTAAATTAGCATTGTGATCCAATCTGCTGCTTGTTTTTCCATTCTCAACAGAAACAGGTACATTAAAAAGGATGCCTTTTGCCAAATCCTAAAAGACAAAAGCCTACCTACCATTTTCAAGAAAAGTGGTTACATCTTTTAATTAATTATAAATATATGTATAGATGTTAGTGTGTGTATAAAAATTTGATGGAGCAGAACTTTGATCCCGTCTTGCTACATGGTGAGAAACCCATGTCTCCTCCAGACCCTCCTCTGAAGTTGAGGTCCTATGTAGATGTCTCTATACTTGGGTAGAAACTTAGATAGATAGAAACTTAGGGATTGGGAATATCGGTAACTTCTACATCATAAAAGGTTCAATATGTTGTAGCTGAGTATAAAAATTGATATTCATAATGTTGATTCTACAACATCATCTTGTGTGTGTGTGTGAGAGAGAGAGAAAACGTATGAGTCTCCTTCTTTTCCATGTTCTTCTCAAGAGCTTCTTCTGGTTCCAATCGCATCCCCTGACACTGGATAGACCTACTTTTCTTGGAGCTATGATATGCTGTCTGCTAGCTTAAAGACAAAAGGAACATTTTGAAGGCTCTGACTACAAGTACTTGCAAATCCTACAAGCAGCTGGGATATTGCTCTCCAGAAGCCCAAACCCTTCATTGTATGCATACAGGCGAGCAGGCTTGGTGGCCCCTGGCAAGAGACCCACCTGTTTACGCTGTGCAGGTATAGCGACACAAACCCTATCCGCAAGTAGATTCTTAATACCGTAAATGACCTTTTGAGAATCCCTATGAAGAGTAGTAAAGAATAAAGAAGAAGAAAGCATGACATCAAGACAACATTGTCCTTGCACTGCCCTGCCGCACCTGATCGGATGAGGTACCGGCCCGTCAGGAAGGGAGCCCGACTTGGGGTGCATATGGAAGCAGCTGACAAGTGCTGGGTGAACCTCACGCCCTCGTTTGCCAGGCGGTCGATATTTGGTGTGCTGCGGACAGAAGAAGGATTCATCACGCGGGTTTCTAATTCTCAACAAAACAAAGAAGATTCAAAGCCATCCTGTTTTGAGTCCAGCTGACTCTGTTGCCAGTAAATCTAAAATACATGCCTTTTAAGCTTCAATCCATCTACCTGTTTAGAGGCCTCCTCAATGGTCACAAGGAAATGGAAAGCAGACTTTAAAACAATATATCTTCAGGCAAAACAATTGCAGACTAATATAGGTCCACGGGTATAATTAAACTATAACCAGTCTGAGCTCATAGGCATTTCAAGGCAAACGTTAATCCATTTGCTCATATTATATTCCTGAAATGAACGGGTGACTTGGATTACATAAAATTTTACTGTATTTCTTGTAGTAACATGTATCTTTTTTTTTTTAAATAACTAAATGGTGACATTTTGGAGTTTAGTTTACTGCCCACGTTGCTCATCTGATATTTTAAGGTCTCGAAAATTTTCTTGGAGCATCTATAGAATATAGGCTCACACAGGTGCTTTTAGCAAATCCCATAAGCTAAGGTATCCCCAATCTTAGTAACATGTGAATGACATACTAGTCTCACAACCCTGCAGCAGTGTGCTGGGGGAGAGAGTCCTATACCCATAAACACTCTCAGTATCTGTGTGGGGGAGAGTCAGCAACTGGACGAGACTGACAGTACCAGATTCTCAAGCAACGTCTCCTGCCTTACCCGTTACTTCCTTGCAGGAATTAAATAGGAGATAAATGTGCTCATGTAGACCTTAAATGCCTTAAAGAACATCAGCCCCCTTTCAAAGTCCAAAAATATGCTTAAATATAGGACTGTTCCATGAGCCACATTCCAAGGAGAAACGATGGTATTTAAATTCATGCTAAGAGGCACCATGTATTTGTACATGAATAAGATTTGTCTGGTGCTGGGGAGCAAGGGCATACAGAAGGATCATGGTCACCAAAGACTTCGGAAATAATTCAGGGAAGACCCTGAAAAACTCTAAAGTCATTCGTCTCTGCCTTGCAATATTATTCAACTATTGACAGAAAGGAAGGAATGATACTTGCAATCACATCGTTGAAAACACGATGCTCCGTGAAAGAAGCCAGACACAAAAGGGCACATAATGTGTGTTATGGGCTGAACGGTGGTCCTCCAAAATTCATAAGTAGGAGTCCTAGCCCTCAAGACTTCGGAATGGGACTGTTTCTGGAGTTGAGGTCACTAAAGAGGAAACTGAGTTAAAACGAAGTCAGGGGTGGGTCCTAATGCAAGAGGAGGAGGGTCCTTGTGAGAAGAGATGAGAACGCCCACAGAAGGAGAATCACAGGAGGACACAGGGAGAGCACGGGGTCTACACACTAGGGAGAGGGGCTTCACGAGGAACCCGCCTCGGCCCCGCCTGGATCTCACACTCCCAACCTCGGCCCCGCCTGGACCTCAGACGCCAGGCTTCAGCCCCCCCTGGATCTCAGACTCCCAGCCTCCAGGACTGGGAGGGGAATCCATGTGTGTTGTTGAATCCACTCAGGATGTGCTTTTAGTTATGGTGGCCCTAGCATGGTATTACATTCTATGATTCAGTGTATATGAAATTTCCAGAATAAGCCAATCCCAAGCGACACAGAGCAGGTTGGCGGTTGCTAGGAGCTGAGGGATGAGGGCTGAGGGGTAGAGGCGACCGATACTAGGTGTAGGGTTGCCTTTTGGGGACGATACCAAAGTTCTGGAAGCAGACAGAGGGGATGGCTGCACTACCCTGTGCACATGCTCCACGCGTCTGAACGGTGCCCTTCCCGTGGGTTACAAGGGTGCATGTCGTGTTAGGGCTATCTCACCACAAAAGCACGACCGCAACCACCAGACCAGGGAGACCAGAATGCAAAGTGCTGTCCTGATGTTTTGCAGGCTTCCCAGGCCAACCTCTGCTCTCCGCCGCCAGGGCCCAGCTGTTCCCGCGGGCCCGAGGCACCCCTGCTCCACAGCGGGGCAGGGGTGGCTTCTTTACCTCACTGTGTTATTACGGTAGCAGCACAGGTCCCCCATCCCAAGGTCGTCCGCCAACAGCAGCACAATGTTGGGCCTGGAGTTCCTCGTGGCGAAGGCTGCGCTCAGGCCCCCAAACCAGCAGCACAGGCATACGGACAGACAGCAAGTCCTGAAAGCATTTGGGGACGTGACAAACATAGCAACTCACACTGTCAATCCACGTTTGCCAATTCCAGCTGCACAGTGCACCTTGGCCTGCCTGACTCGGAAACCAGAATTACTTTTATTTTTTACTTTGTATTTATTTTTAAAGATTGTATTTATTTATTTGAGACAGAGAGAGAGAGAGAACACAAGCAAGGCAGACAGGCAGAGGGGAGGGAGAAGCAGAGTCCCTGCGGAGCAGGGAGCCCAATGTAGGGGCTCAATCCCAGGACCCCAAGATCGTGACCTAAGCCAAAGGCACATGCTTAACCAACGGAGCCACCCAGGTGCCCCCAGAATTTTTTTTTAAAGTCTTATTCTATGTTAACATAGTATAACATACACATTAATTTTCTATGCCATGTGATAATTAAATTCTTATAACTTCCCAAACTGTTTCATGAGATGAGACTCTTAATGAAGCCCTAATAGCATTTAAACTTGAATAGAAGGCCTAATAATTTGATTTATTGGGATTAAAATGTAAACAAAATAGAAAATCGGACACAAATCACCAGCGAGTCTGGCTTTTTTTTTTTTTTTTGATGTTCAGTTGTACTTTTTAATACATTAAAATATATATTTAAAGTAACATTGGGAATTCTTTCAACATCTGAAAAAGGAAAATTAACATACATGTATATGTTACTAAATGTTAGGCTGTAGGCTCATGCATTCATAACTGCTAAAGTCTGTCGTATGCTCCGAAAAACACAACAGCCTTGGATTGAAATCGCTCCAAGTTGAGGACCATTGTCTCCTGCAGGAAACTGATTCTCCATCCCCAAATTCCATCCGATCCATTCCAGGCCCTGTTCGTGCTGCCTCAAAAAATGCATCTTAAATCCACTTGCATGCAACCTCCTACAAGCCCATCAGGGCAGGCGGAGGAACTCAACAGTGTGTCTCACTTGGACACCTCCAAACTCTCCCAAATGGCCCGGCTCGTCCCATTTTTGCCACTTGGGCCCCCTCCAAAATACGGCCAAGCTGAGCAACCCTATCAACGTACAAATCTGGTTGCAGTGCTCCTTCACCAAGTCCAGTGGCTGCCCATTGCGCCATGATTGTCAAGCCTCACCCAGTGGTGCTCTTTGCTGCTCCATCATGCTTTCTTGTCACTACCCACCCCCCAGCCTTGGCTCATCCATGGGCATCCTTAAAATCCCTACAAGGATCCGTGAGTTTGTACCTTGTACAACCCCTGTCTCTCTGCGACATCCTGACTTTCACCCTATGAATTCACACACATGCTGTCATTCCTAAGGTAAGCATCGCTTCCACAGAAAAGCCATCCTGTGGGACTCCAGCAACCCATAGCCCCTGGCACACCCCTCATTATCCTTAGCAGGTGTCAGGCAGATGAAGTAGACCACACATCAGCCGAGGTGAGGAACCCTGGGACCCTTCTGTCTGGGGTACAGGGAAAAAGGAAGGTTTGCGAAGTCACCTACTTACCAGTTACAGATTGGCTGCTTCATGACTGCGTATTCTGCTCCCCTAGGGAAGAAAAAGAAAAAACAGAAGAGGTGCAGAGCTGACATTTCTCTCATAGCCAGACATTCGATCCAAAGTACTAAAGAACCTGTTGATGTGATCCTCTTCTCAATTCTTTACAACTAATTGCAAACCAGTCATGTTCGTGCAGAGAGAATGTGACGAAGAACATGCACGACCCACTCATTTCTGGGTAGATGTCATGGCAGATTTCCAACACATGATGTGGATCTGGCCACAAAAACCCTTCATGCCAGAGTCACTGAAATAAATAAGTCATCCACGAATGGGCATGCATTCCGTAACTATTTGTATCACCCATACGGTATGTGTGGTACTCTGCTGCAAAGAACATTTTTCTGCCCAAGGTGGATAAGCAATGTCTACCTTAAAAAAGCACAGTGATGAACACTATGGACCTATGGTGATGTTGGCCAACCTCACTGAGAACAAGAAGGCATGTTCAGCAGCTATAATTATGATCCTTTTATAAGAGTCCAAAGGGTGGTAGAGTCCTGTGCTCTCCCCACAGAAGACCCTCAAATGGCTCCAAGTTGGTGATGCTTTGTAGGCTAAGGATCCACCCCACAAGACAAATGCTATATGATAACAATTAATGACAACACCCCAGAGTTTATAGGGCTTTTTCATTCCCAAGGCATCTCCAATGTTCCCATTGGAGCCTCAAAATATCTCACCCTGCTTGCCTCGAAGGCTTAATGACACTTCTTTTGTTTTATGGGAGAGGGAGCTGGGGTCATAGAGTTTAGAACACTTTCACAGAGGCTGGTAAATTGGAGATGTGGCATTCAGGAGGTCTCTGCCTTATAATCATGTGTGTGGGTGTCCAATGCCCAGGGCTCCCTTGTCATCTTAGACTTCCAGGAAGGCTCTCAGGTGGGACATTTCTAGAGGCCAACTATCCTGGTGCATTTGGTGAAGCCTACACTCCCATTGTCTCTGCTCCACAGACCCCCAATCAATACTTGTGCATTCAGCTTGGTTCCATGGTGACCTCCCGAAAAGCCATACTCTAATGTTTCCTCTCCCCAGCCCCACTGCCTCACACATTATATGGCATTCCTGTAAATTTCCATTAATTTCCAGAATGCATTTCCAGTACATCCTCACTGAAGACATCGAACATTTCCCAAGGGTTGGGTGAAAGATGCAAGAACAGTGCTTTTTTTATTTATTTACCAGTTGTAGCCATGTCCACCTCATTTCATAAGAACGTCTCTCTCCAACCTAAGATTGGTAAAGTCACAATGGATGGTCCTAGTCACATATGCAAAGTTCTTCCTAACTGGAAAAAAATAAAAGCTATTTATAAAATAGATGGAAATAAAAGTTAGCTCCATGGTATAACAGAACTTCTACTGTCTCAAAGAATTATACATATCAAATCCAGATTTTAAGAGATATCAAGAAGACTGTGTCTACCCAGGAAGCTCCTCTACCTCTACCCCATTCTGCACAATCCCTTTCTCCAGTTCTTCTCCCCACTCTCAAATTTTAACACAGGAGTTTATTAAAGGTGGGCAAACTGGTGATGCATAACTGGGCTTCTGGAAATGTACAAATGCATGAGGCTGGTATCATATATCAATGTGGTTTTCAAAATTGGTTTTATTTTCTAGCTGTCTTTGAAGAGATGTCCAAAGTTATGAACCTAATCAAGAAGCACTGCTCAAAAAGCTGTTCTATAAGGTCATGTTATTAATAGAAAAAGCGGGAAACACAGTAGCCAACAAAAGAATCGCATCCCCAAATGGATGAAAATGCACGTGCTGATGTATGTGGACTATATTCCTTCAGAGAGTGAGTGAGAGTCAAAAACCAAACCAAACCAAAATAAAACCCCAAAACCAGTGCCCCTGGATGGTGGCGTGGACCTTCCAAAATGATGGGGAAAAAATACAACTATGTGAGGTGATTGATGTGTTAGCTAACCTATTTTTGGTAATCACTTTGCAATACACACTGATAGCAAATCATCACATTGTACATCTTAAACTTACACAGTGTTCTGGGTCAATTCCATCTCAATAAAGCTGGAAAAAAAAGTCTTTAAAATTCCAGATTTTCATGGTTTTGCCTTCAGAGGTTAACTCCTAATGACCCAGAAATAGCAAAACATATCAGTCATGGACACCTTAGTGAGAGAAAGGTAATCAGGTAGTTATATGGAAGAACCTGAAGATGGTGCCTTATATGGAAATGGGGTCTTTCCAGATGTGATGAAGTGAAGATCTGGAGATGACACCTTTGTAGATGAGGGTGGCCCTAAATCCAAAGACAGTTGTCCTTATAAGGGACAGAAGAGGAGACACAGACACAGAGGAGAAGCCACTTGAGGACAAAGCCAGAGATGGGAGGGATGTGGCCAAAAACCCAGGGAGGCCTGGAGCCCCAGAAGCTGGAGGAGGCAGGAAGGACCCTCCCCTGGAGCCTCCAGACGGAACACAGCCCTGCCCCGCCTGGATCTCAGACTCAGGTCTCCAGAAATGGGGGAGGATACACCTCTGTTGCTGTAAGCCCTCAGTTTGTGGTCATTTGTTACAGCAGCCCCAAGAAACAAATATAAGCAATTAGGAGGGGGAAAGAAACAACTTCTCTACATCAGGAGACTCCATTAACAAAGCAAAAATGGCATGTTCAGAGAAGGAGAAAATATCTACAATATTTTCTATAAATAGATTAGAAAAGGGATAAAGATATAATAGAAAGACTAGACATAAGGTGTCCACAGGCCATTCACAGAAGTCACACGGGATCAATAAACTCATAACCATATGCTTAGTCTCCTCAGTAACCAGAAAAAGTAAATTTTAAGGATCATCAGGTTGCATATCTATCAAAACCCCAGTAATTTCTTCAAGTTTGATAGCATGCAGTTTTAAGAAAGATTCCAAGAAAGTTACCTGAAACTGCCAGGGAAAGCTTTTGTGAGGGTATGTTGCCACTAAATATTAAATTTTTAAGAAATCATAAACTATGACACAGTATTTGTGGCTTCTCACCCTGGGGAAACCCTCAGCCAGCAGGCAAAAGTCAGGAGTAAGGGTGTTCATTGTAACATTGCTTTTACATGGAGTCAGGCTGAAGCCCGCTGAAAGCATGCTGAACGGGAATGGCTAAATAAAGGGGAGTATATTCATCATGCAGAAATCTATGTTATCTTCTTTAAAATAAGGAAGATGCACTCATTGATCTTTTGGGATTCTTTGATGGTAAAGCTGTATAATTCTGTGAGGCATTCCTCAACCACAGCTGAAATCAAAACAGTAATTACTTTTATGGGACCTTTCATCCAAGGACACCGCGATGCTACCTGGAAGTTATCTCCTTAAGCTTTGAGGAAGGACAGTAATACTATGATTACTCCCACTCTTCTGCAGATACAGGGGGTTCCAGGAGTTAAGGTATAGCTTAGGGTCAACTAATAAAGCCAAATGCAACCTCTCCACTAATTAAAACATTCTCCCTGTTAATATTCACTAACAAAAATCTTCTAGCCACTGAGACCAGTCTCGAAAGTGCCTGAATGTTCTTCCAAAAAAACAGAAGCTCCTTCTTTCCCCTACACACCTGGAAAATCATGCATTATATATAACCAAAGCCGCAGTCGACTTGCAGAGTGGACCCGTGGTGGTGGCTTGATGTCCAGTGGAGGACCACCACTATCTTCATGGTAGTTGTCCATCTGTAGGTGAGCGAGTCAAAGACATAATTGCAACCCAGGCAGAACTGGGCAAAATTCAGCAGATCATACTTGAAATGGAGCAAACAATTGATCATAATTTTCAATTGAGCATCTCCTTCCTTTCTTTGCTATGTGCTGAGAACCAACACCTGCAGCTGGGCCAGTCAACGCAACTAAAGCAGAGGAGATGCTTAAAGACATAAATTCCCACATGTGTCCCTAACAAGAGCATGAAAGGCACAATCAGGAAATGGGTCAAATGCACCAGGACGGGCTCTCTCAATCTCAGCACTGTGGCAATCTGGGGCTGGATAGCTCTCTGGGGGTGGGGCATCCTCGACACTGTAGGGTGATGAGCAGCATCTCTGGTCTTCACCCACCACATGCCAGGAGCACCCCCTCCCCAGATATGACAACCCCAATTATTCCCACACATCGCCAAACAGCATGAAATCATCCTGTCTCCGCGGTGAGCTCCACTGAACCAGACTGATAGGAAATCATTCTTGATGATTTCAAATGCTGTTTATTCATCAGGCAAGATTCTGATTTTCTCATCCAGGGTTGTTGATTTAGAATAGAATCTCTGTGGTTTTATTATTTTTCTCTCCTAATGTAAATATATGAATAAAAATTGAATGTAGCAATTTTCTCATTGCTTTATTTTACTAATTCCTGCTGGGAAGAATTTAATATATTGACTGTGGTATCTTGTGGTTCCTCACTGAAGAGACTTCTTCTCTTTAGATTCACATAAATCCCCAAGCTTCCTCC